AAATTAAATAAAATAAAATAAAAGTACAAAAATGACATTAAGAAAACGAAACAGAGAATTACCTGGGTGTCCGATTTATGCATTGGGTTGTCGGGTGTTTGCTTTTGGAATCCAAATCAGAAACTTTGCATTCTTCTTCTTGGGCTTTTCAGTAAGTCTGATTAATCGTGGGCACATATACAGAGGGATTTAATTACAATTAAAGTAGATCATTTATAATCCATGACTCCTAAACCTCTCCGTTTCTCGGCTCGTCTTTTCAGGAAGCATGTGCGTTTGCTACAGCCAGCCGCTGACGGACAAACGGGAACTGACCTACGTCGTGGTTTTAGTTCACAAAGGTGAGCACGCCTCCCCTCCCCCCCCTCACCTCTCTGCTCGGCTCACCTATATATTCCTGCTTTCTGGACTCGTCTCAACATTCGGTTCCGCTCACTCCCTGCAGATTGCAGCAAGAGGTTCAGAGTGTCTCTCGGAAACGACGCGCCGAATTCGGGCCGGCTTCATCCGCTCTTCATCCCCATAGGTCACCGCACACACAGAAACGCATCATAAGCAAACACCAGAATACGATTTAAGTTTGTAGCTGACTGAAGGAATGGGAGGACCGTGTTATTTTCAACTTCATCAGTATGAGCTACGGCCTAGTGGTGTCCAATAAACGTCTCTGTTGCAGAACGTGCTCTCTGACTGTGATGCTGTGTTATACCTTCACATGCAGGCTACTACATCCTGGTGTATCTGCAGGGGTGTTTCCTGCACTGCATCAACACCAGGCAGCAGGAGTTGCTGTGTCACTCCCTCTTCCTAACCGGTAGCTCACAATTCAAAGCCCAGCAGTGGCCGCGCTACACTTTCAAGGTGGTTTTGGCTTTTAACGTCCGTGTCCGCTTTGTCAATTTTTAAAGGTCAGGATGTCAACTTGGGCGCGCAGCTTCGGTCGGACGCCCTCACCGTGATGCACAAGGATGATGAAACCGGTGTTCGCCTTCTGGAGCTGGCAAGTGGGTCGATTCGCACCGCTGAGCTTAGCCCGGCTTACCTGCTGCAGATCCTCAGATCAGACGCGCGTGCCCGGTGAGTGCAATGCAAAACTTTTTTTTTTTTTCTGGAAGTGCAGTGATTGTGGCTTTGGTGCTTTAAATATAAATAGACAAGAGACATGAGAGCATAGGGGTGGTGGAACATTGCTAGAAAAGAAGCAGCCGGGTGGAAACGGAGGGTTATTTTCTATTTGTTGGAGTTATTTTCGTGTGTACGCACTTGCTGAATTTTAAATACATTTGACTCCGACCGCAAAGTTTGGAAGCAGATAGCCCGGGAGAAGCCATCTGACTCAAAAGTCGCTCTGTCCTCTGATTTCATTAGGTTTTCCGCTTTACTAAAAACACAATGCTTTTCAGAAATAAAAGCAAAGGTATTCACACTTTCACACATTCTGTCAAGTTACAACTCAAGTTGGCTGGAGAGTGTCGGCAAACATTTAATTTTTTTCGTCTTTCCCCACCTTCTCAATTAGAGTTAGGTCTAGACTTTGACTAGGCCAGTCACTATCCTACAGTTAAAAAAAGAGAAAAAACTTTTGAACCCTTTAACTGGATTTCTTTATAGATTGACCTGTAATTAGCTCCATCCACGCTCAAAATCACCTCTTACCCCCTTCGTTGTTTCTGTAGCAACTGTATGTCAGGATGCCATGTTTAGTGGTATGGTCTCTATTTACAACTAACTACAAGTCTATGATTTCTAAAGGTAATTATTTTCATAGGGATATCTCAGGAAATATTTTTACACCACACACTATTTAGATAAAAAAAGAAAATGACCGATTTTCTCTTTCTACGAGTTTGTGTATCGAAAGGCCCTCTAATTACCAACACCAACTGTTGGCCTCTTCATCTGCGTCCGCTCACATTTAGGTACATGTCATGTTTTTCCCACCTATGCCCAAGGTCTCCCAGCGGTCGGACCGACCCCCGTCGCCTGGCTGCCCTCCACTGCCTGCTGGTTTTCATGGGAGACGACTCGAAGCTGGAGCTGAAGGTGCACAAGCAGACAGTTATAATGAAGTGTGTGGACAAAGATATTGACCTTTAAAGTCCAAAGGCGCGGAGCTCACGCTCGCATTTGGCTGTGCATTTCGATATTATCCGTCGAGTGCAAAAAAAAAAAGGAAAATCAAGAAAGGCGAAGCCATTGATTGCTGCCGGGTTTTGAAAAAGAAAAAGAAAAAAAAAAAAACAAACACACGAGATCAATCTGCTCTCCTTGATGCAAAGACGAGGAGAAAGAAGGAAAGAGAATGCATACACTTAGGCTACTGTCATGCACATCTACCTCTAGGAAAATTGATTTCATAAGAATAATTCATAGGGCAAAATTTCTCTGTTTGTGCAATTCCGCGGAAATGCTGTAGGTGTCAACCTTGAGTTGGGGAAAGAAAGGCAGGAGGAACATGAACATTGAGCTGAAGTTGTGATTAAACCAGTGAGAGAAGACGACAAGTGGGCAGAGTCGACGGCAGAAATTAATGGTTTGATATTTGGTTTGGACACTGTGCCGAGTACGACTAAGACTTTATTAGTGTTAGATCTAAAACGGGATGTTCCAGCTGCCCCTGTAGATGAAATAAATTATTTCTTTAAAGGTTAAATGACTCACCAGCTTCATTAGGGCACCTAGCAATAGAAATTGGGACGCTCCGCATCGCGTTTGTGTTTTATGGGAGGGGGGAGCGGGGGCTTTCAGTACAGTAGCACCTTTATCAAATGTGACTGCATGTTCATGATTTTGGCTCTGCTCAGATGATTTTGTAGCTTCAGGGAAACGCTGTGCGATTCGACTCAAATTGACACGAGGCAAAAATCTGTTTGTTCAAAGCGCCTAGCTGAAATGCAACTATCTGAAAGTTGTTAGAATTTCAAGTTTTTGTGGTGTAGATTATGAGACTAATCTACAGACAGCCCTAATCTACAATAAAACCCTACAGGAGAACAATTGATCTGACAAGATGAAGACAGTTGTTTTTGTCGTTTTTATTTTTTTGTTGCAATAACAAGAATGATGGTGGGAGTTTGCTGATAATCTAAGAACACATCCAGTCTCGTCATATTTAATGTGGGAATGCATTACTGTCATCGTCTAGCGCTCTTATGGAAGAATCGTTTTGGGACGGATTTGTCCACTTTGCCAAGCTGCACGGTCCAGAATCAAAAACACCACGGAAACAAAGAGTTGCTTTATGTCAGGACACTGTACAGAATATTAAATTATGCACACTAATTGAAGTAATAACAGCAGTAGTCGTTTTTATAATGTAAAAAGGCTATAAAGGATGTCAAGTAACCTATAAATGATGATTTCCTGAAGTATAAAACTGACCTTTGCTCTTATTATAAGCTAACTCAGCTAGCTGCTACCACCAGCTTCCCTTTTGTCCAAATGCCTGAGTTATCCATTTTATTTTTTTAATGCAAGCTATGAAATATTTGCACAAAAACAAACCATGCAGCCATTTCTACAAAGTCATAGAAGTTAAGAACTATTTTACTTCCTGTGCAGTTAACCGCCTTGCGTCCATTTTTATTCCAGGTTGTCGAATGGCTGTGTGACAACATGAACGCCTTTGAATCCTTCGATCAGATCCAAGAGTTCATTTTAGGTCAGTCAGTGTGAACCTCCTGAGTGTGGCTTATTCTTCCCTTTTAGAGTCTTATTGCTGCACTCGCTCTCGTTTCTTTTCCTCCACCTCTATCAGTCCATCACAACTCGAATGCTTACATCCAGTCTACACAAAGCTGAATTCTTTCATCAACTCTGTTTGGCTCTTAAATTTCTCCTCGCAAACCTGTGCCAAGCCGCCCACACAAATCAGGGCATTTAGAAAATAGATTTTTTTCTCTCTCTCTTTCTCTCTCTCGACCTTGGAGACTTGCAGCTGGCTCAAAACAGACTGTAGATGATTAGGTTCTTGTAGAAAGCAAATAAGATGAAGAAATGAAAACCATAGCCAATTAAATAGAACATTTTGATATATTTGCACTTATTAGTCTTTAATTAACAGATGTTACTATTCCGACTGAAAGGTGATGTCTATTCAATATGATTTTAGAAGTGTGTGCTCTTTAGATAAAGATTTGGCAATAAGATTTATTAATTGCATTCAAGTGTACATAAATGTAGACATACCTGTGCCTCAAAGCTTTTCGTTGACAGCTTGCATCTGTGCTCTATATTTACACATGAATGTTTCTGTCATGCAGCGTCTTTGTTTAGAATCTGCTATAAGAAGTCTCTTGGCCTGGATAAAGTCCTACCTTATTCCTGTTTGTTTGAAAAAAAGGTATCACACACACTATTGCTTAAATGCACACTAGCAGATAGACATGCAAACAATGGCTGTTTTTTTTTTAAATATATATATAGGTGTTATGGCTCTCTGCACAAGGTGCCAGTGGTATGCTAAAGCTCAGGGTTAAACTAAAGGGACTCATTTTTTTTCACTGAAAATCTTTACATCAAAAACCTGAAATGGTCAAGCATGAACTAGATTATCCTACTCTACATAGAAAGATAATCTGTGTCATAGAAATTTGTGGCGTTTACTTTTAGTGTGGTTTGGGGTTTTGTTTCAGGAAGTCCCAGCCTGCCTGTTGGAGCTCCCTGGTGTTATGTGTACCACAGAGCTGCGCATTGTGCCTGATTTTAAGGGAAAGGTATAACCGCCCCCCTCCCCCACACACACACTTTTTAATACATTTAAATGAGTGCTATTCATTAAGCTAAAAACGTTTCAAAACACTGGGCAGTTAGCATGTTTGCTATGCCAGTTAGGCTAGCTAATGAGCTGTCAGCTCATAGCTAGCTCGTAGGTTAGCTATGAGCTGATAGCCGGACTATTTAGCAAGCCAATATCAGCTTAGTGGCAACTACAAGCAATTGTTTGTTTTTTTCTAAAGTACTGTTTTAAATTCCTCAGAGAAAAATCCAACGACAAATACTGCAGGTACTTATTCCTGTTAAAATCAATGTTATTGTCTCAGTAGCAGGATATTTGTTGTTTGCGTATTTTCGTGTTGCATATTTGCGCTGTGGAGAAAACCTTGGTGTTTTACTCAAGAGCTGCATGCGGTCCTTGTCCTTTGCTAACCTTAAAAAACTCGCACCGATTCGCTGCATTTTCAATGGTGGACATAAAAAAACTATTTGACATCTGATTGTGTTTCTGTTTATATGCAGCTAATTTGCAAATGATCCTCACTCTGGTTTGTCCTTGCTCGCTTGTTTCCGCGTATCGCTGCGCAGGCAGAGCGGCTCCAAGGTTTCTGGGCAGAGCTGCAGTGGAACACAGAGAGGACGAAATGTTTGAACGCCGCTTCCAACCCAAGATACAAAACCTCACACATCCGGGCCGACTGGGATAAATTGGTGAGTGGCTGTGCTTTTGTGTGTGTGTGTGTGTGTGTGTGTGTGTGTGTGCGCACGTATAAAGCAAAAACCTTTCATGCATATAAATTACTGTAAATCACTTTTGACTCATCATTTCCATTCTAAAACCGGCCTGCTAATGTGGAGGTGTCTTTTTCTGGATGTCCTTGTCAGCATACCTGTGGGTATAGTCCAACAATGTCAGTGTACTTTCATCCCTCCCATGATGATGATGGTGGTGGTGGTGGTGTTGTTGTTTCAGAGGTCCGAGAGCAAAGCCTCCAGCCATGTGAATCACTTGGAGAACACAAAGAAGTAGGTCTGCCTCCCACTGGAGCTCTATTAAGAAATATGTTCCGAACTCGCAGACCTGAAGCAGGGGGGAGGAACTGCATCGCTGCTTTTCTACATCATCTGTATGAAATCTCACTAATAAAAAGGCAGTAAATGTAAACCTCAGAAGACTTATATCTAGAAGCTTGTGGTACTTTTTAACCCCGTCCTAGTTTTGATCAAATCCGGTAGGTCTTTAATGGTAGCTAAAAAGAAAAAAGAAGTGTTATTTCACAAAATGGTATTCAAAAAACATTGACCTATTTACAAAAATGACTCATACAAATTTGGTCTTATATTACAGTATTATAGTATTTACCACTTAGTAGTTATGAGCCAATAAAGTGAAACTACTGGAATAACGTGCAGTGGTAAAACTGTATAAAAATGGCCTTATTTGCTGTTATTTCAAATAATTAGTCGAGTTCTGTAGCCAGATGCCTAACAGATTGTTTCTAGCTACTGCAGCTTTAAATTGTCTTTTTTTTTTTTTTTAGCGCGTCGCTTTAGTTTTCACAAGATCTTTTGCGGTTTCTTTGTTATGTTTTTGTTTTTCTGGTCTGGCATTGCAGGAGAGAAACGTCTCGTGGTTTTCAAAACCGCTAAATGACACTTCTAAATTCTTGGCTTTACCTTAACTTTTGTTTCCTGTCACCACAATTTTTATTTTTTATTTTTTGTATATGCGTTGTTGCTGGATTTCTTTTAAGGGTGCGGCGTTTTTGACTTTTAGATTGATTATCCTTGTACAGTAAGCAGTACAATAAGATTAAGAGCACAGCTCTAGTTCAGCCCCCAACTCTCTGCTGCTTCCTCCCAATTATTTAAACCTTGAACATTTCCCTCGCTCCTTTACAATTTGGCACTTCACACAGTCTTTGAAGCGGCAGCATGATGCATGTAGTGCTGCCTAAAAGCAAAGTACAAGAGGATAACGATGTAGTTCAAGTGCTCCTCAGTCTGTTGTTCTTGTCTGCTGGCTCATAAACATGCTTCACCCGGCTGTGGATAGTGATATAAAGATACTGTGCCTTGTTGAAGTGCATCCCCACCCGACCTCTTTTTAATTCTTCACGTAAAACCCCAAACTGAAATGTACTCCGTTAAAAGTTAAGTTGATTTTTGCAGCCAGTCATAGATCTTTTAATATTTCCACGTATTTTGCTCCTTCCACCAAATATTATTCTAGAAACAACAAATATGCTGTGGTAACTTTAGACTCTCGGTTGTAAATGATGAAGCAGTTTGGTGGACAGACACCAATTGATGTCAAATTTGCTGAAAATGAAACAAAACATCATAAAAACCTAATAATTAGATTTTTCCCTCATGTCTGAACTGGATTTCACCTCCATAGTTTAAGCTTTTTTTTTTTTTTTTTGAGTCAGTGCAGCTTCATATTTCACTGTCCTGAGAAAATAAAAGAAATTCCAACTTGAGGTCATGTTTTTTTTTTCATCAAGCGTCTCTCTTCTTGTTTCCAGGGTTCTTTCAGTGGTTGACACCTGGTGCCTCGGTAAGCCAAACCAAAGAGAGCGCTCGCGTTCACTTACAAGCAAAATCCCCTGGAAGGCAACGCAACATTTGCACGGCGCGTGACGCAACAAAAAACCCCACGTCGTACATAATGCAACGCCAAACGCTGCACGAGTGCGTTTGTGCGTCGTGCCCAGGGGAGAGCTCACGCTGAAGCCGATTCATTTTGGAGGGGAGAGTTGAGAAGGAGGGAATGTAGAAGAGAAATAAATAAAGTGAAACAATGAGGAAGAATGTGAAACTTACATAACAGTGGGGAATAGGGTACTTTCCTCTCCTCTCTCTCTTCCAGCTTTCTGTCTCTTGTAGTAGCTCGAATGCAGCTGCGATACTTCAACCTTAATGCGGGACACTTTTTGTTTTTTTTTGTTAAGGCCACAGAAGGTCCAACATCCTGGATTCACTGGAAAAAGATACATAAAAACATACATAAAAGATTGACACGCTGTTGATATTCTTAAAATAAGTTACTATCTTTTGATTTCTCCCTACAGTTGTGATACAGCATCATGTTTCGCATAAATCTAAGAATCTAAGTGGCATGTTCTTGAAAAAGAAAAAAACAGTCTAATATGTTAGTCTTTTATTTCAAACATTTTTAAAGCACTATGTAGCAGTAACTGTTGAACAAATTCCAATTTATATCTGAGCATGAAAACCCACTCGATGTCTGTAAATGCCGAGTGGGCGCCTCGGAGAAAACGGCGTCGATACAATGTGAATGTCCCAAACGTTGTCATGAAGACCAACGGACAGACCGGATGGGTTAGGGAGGAAGTTTCGGAGAAGTTTAAACCGAATTAATGCCATGAAATAATATCTCAAGCTATGAACAAACTGGTGCTACACAAGTCTAAATGTACCACTCATTGTTAAGCATGGTGGTGGCAGAATCATGCTCTCATGTCTTTCTTTGACACGGAAAGGTGAACTTCTGAGAGCTGATGGAAAGAGAGGATTAATCTACATTTACTAGTGTACAAAGTGTGAGTAACGTCAAAAAGAATTTTTTTCAGACGTACCTGTCGCAGACATGCATATTGCAAATTAAACTGGGTCTTCTGCATGTTGGCCTGGCTATGATGGAGCTGTTTATAGCCGTAGCATGTCAGGGTATAACATCAAAAAGCCTGCTTTCCGTGTGTGTGATCAAAGATGGTGTGTATTTGTGTATGCAAGAGAATCCAAAGTATGGTAGATGAAGCACGGTCTGCTTTCATGAGACTGACATGAAAGGACTTGCACAGTTGGATTTCTGCCTTCAAATCCCTGAGGTGAAAAGATGCGTCTTTAAAGCAAAAAATAAAAAAATACACCAAATAAATCTTCTGATTAATAAGTCATCATCTCTTTTGTCTCATTAACTTGGCCAAAAGGCATTGCTTTCCCCCATTTGTTTTTTTACAGATAGCTTATTACTTGTAATAATATCAAATAATCTTTGGCATCAGAAGCTACTTCAAAAACACATTTTTATATTTGCGTATTTTTTTCCCCTTCTTCTGTAGATAAAAAGCTGGTGCCACTTTTTCAAGAAGAGGACCATCAACAAAGGGCATTCATCGGCCTGGTGAGAAAACCCATCAAGGGCTACAAGACTGCACTCGCTGTGTTTTAAAAAACAAAAAAAAAAACAACAGTCCTCACTGAAGTAAAATATTATGCCACCGTGCTACTTTAGGCAAAGGTGTACTTCCAAATTTCGGGATACAGATTTCGGGAAGTTCTTTTCCTGTTTGGCAGACAGAACCAGGCGACCGGGGACGTGTTTCTAGAAACGCCGTTCCTCTTTGTGGCTCCGATATCAACCGAAAATTTGACGAGGCGGTGAAGCAAATTGTTGCCTTTTGAAATATTAGCGAAAAGATACAATGATAAGACGAGAGACAATGTGCTGCACCGTCGTTTAAACCTTAAAAAAGGTTTAGCGTTGGCGATTGCACTGCATTCGGGTGATTTACTACCGATTTTAATATGACGACAAGGGTGCGAACCGCTAAAGCAACGTTGCTAGTGATGTAGATAAAAAATAGTCAATCCTTTGTAGGGTAGGGTTTTCATTTTAGCTAGAAGGTCTATATTCTTCAATATTTATGATTTTTTTTTTAATTTAGATTATATCTCAATTAGGTATTGCTTTGCTTTAGCTACTACCAAGATGTTTCAGTTTACAAAATTAAATCCCAACATTTGGTCACTGAAAACTGAAGAGCAGTGGCTGGAATGCTCATCAGCAGTTTTCTTTTCTTTTATCTCGCGTTCTTTATGTTAATTCGAATCCCAACGTGTCAATTTTCTCCCCGGTGTCGGAGACGGCACGAGAAATGTGCAGCAGCTTCACCCCCTAACAATAGAACAGGGTTGATATATAGATCACTGAAAAGCCACAGTGTAATGCTGACAACCAGTTATTTCCCTCGCTACAGTCATCTGTTATAGTGAAGCTCCTGCTACGCTTCAAATGAGTCGACTCTTTAACAAAAGAGGCATCTTAAGGTCCTTGTCCTGCCTTTTTTTTTTTTTTTTCTTTTCTTATTTTAAACCGAGCTGTGTTTGATGGACAATTTCATATCTTTGACTTTTCCCTCTGCTCAGCATAGTTTTTTAAAGAGCAGATAGCTTCAATTTAATAGAGTTCAGTTAAGCTATTCTTGGGATGACCCAGTCCTCTGATCTCACTCCATTTATTCCCTCCATTACTCGTCCTACTTACATCATCTTCAGCCTTTCAATCCGTTTCCTGAAACTTATTTGCCCCCCTCTCCTCATCTTAGATTCTTTTAGCCTCTTCGTCCTTTCACGTCCACAGGTCCTCCCCTCCCCCTCGTCCATTGAATTTACTTTTGGAAATTGAAGGAAAACTCCATTGTGAACTCCATTTGACCCCAGAGCCGAGTGCTCTCAAATATCTGCATAAAGCATGCAAATATGTCTTAAGTTCAAGCCGCAAGCCTTGGAAAAAAATAACCTGTGTGCATTTTTTGCAGACAGTCGACAAACTTCGAGAACATCTCAACAGATACCTGCCTCAACTGGGGAAGAAGAAGATCGACTCGCTGGTGGTCAACTATGTAGCCAAGCTGGTAGATGCCCTGTGCATGTTTTTCTTTTGTGTATGCGTGTGTGTGAGATGGCCAAAGAAAAAGTGGTTTTAAAGTAGAAGTTATATTTATTTCAAAATCCCCCCCCCCTCTTCCTTACTCTTGGAAGGTTAAGTGACAGCAGAAATCGCTCAGTGGAGAAGAAGTCTCCAGGCTTGCACTTAAAACCGAACGGTTTGACTCTGTGCTGGAAGCCATAACAGGATTCTTTGAGGTTTCCGAAACAAGAGTGTATTTTTTTTTATTTTCTTTTAGGTTTCAGTCCATGCTGCTGGTACCTGATGAGTGAAGTTTGTGTGCATGTTCAAAAATAATGTGTTGAAAGCAAAAAGGTACTTTTGAGGACTTTAACCGCTTGAATCTTTACGTTTTGTCTCCTTACAACCACAAATGTTATCTAACCCTTTCAAACAATAACATTGTTTTCCATTTCCTATCTGTTGTAGGAAATTCATTTATTTTAAGAACGACCACAAGGGAAAATCTTTTTAAAACTGGGATTAATGCATTTTCTTCAATGGGGTGATCCATATTTATAGAAAACGGTGTCGAAAAGGTATTTCGCAGCTACTTTAATTCTAATCGTCTTGCAGAAATGTTGTGCAAAACTAATAATAATAATAATAATAATAAAAAGAAAACTCTTTGAAAAACTGCTGAGCTAGAATTTTTACAGTAGAGATGCTTTTATAGAGAAGCGTCAAGGAAGCTGGTCAGAGTTAATGGGGTAACGGAGCTAAAGGCGGAATGATCCTGGATGACGATCCGGTGCAGATTACTGTTCACAGTTGCTCTTCGTTTAAAGACACAGAGCTTCAGTGATTTTGCTTAAAAATGAAAAGAAAAGAGAAAAATTTAAGGGCTATGTACGGTTTCCCTTCCAATCACTGTAATGAAATGTAAAATCAGCTGACGTTTGTGGATTTAATGTGACCGAGTTGGGAAAGACTTTTAAAATGCCCTGTAACTACCTTACGTTTCGTCTGTCATTTTCTCAACCTAACCACAATTCATTCAAGGTATGACAAGCTCACACTTCTAGTAGACCAAAAGTAATTGTGTCACAGAGGCAAAAGCACTTCCAGAGTCACTTTTCAGGGCTTAAGTTTGGCTTTGTCACGGCTCCCTTGTGGCCAGTGGCCAGGGCTTTTAGCCCGACAGATATCCTACAGCCGGAAAGGTCTAAACATGGGCAGAGGTCAATGGGTAGGGAGTGAGATGAGAAAACCAGGAGCTTAAGAGCAACATTAGGCGACTCTATAAATTTTGTATGATTCGTACTTAGCCTGGGTGATTTTTTTTAAGTATATAGAACCTTAGAGGTGGATTTTAAGTTCTATTTTTAGGATAAGCTTCCTAGGACCTGAAATACAAAGCGCTACTTGCATCTGTGGACTCAGACTTTACCAGACAATGGCATTTGAGAAATGGAGTACATTGTATTTTTTTTATATAACTATATAAATGTCATTTTATTTATTTTACATTCAGCATGCAGTAAGTTTTCTCTCAGTTCTTTCACCTGACCATGAAACAGAGTTATGCAGAGTGTGCTTAAAAATGAGTTAAACTTTAAAGTCAACAAAAGTTGTGCAACTGGAACGTTAAATCATCCATCATTCATCTATTACACCACAACATTTTAGATTTTAAGCTAGCAGCTCTTTTTGTGGGTTTAAAAATAACGTTTTAGTCTTACAAATAGTGTTATACTTTGTGATTTTACATATGTTGAACTAAAGAAATATCCATTATGTGTAGACAGCACAGGATTATCTTTAGGGGTATACTGAGGTGAAACAATTGTTAGCGTTTTTAAATTGTAGCTTTTAAAGTTCCAG